AAAGATTATTATCGAGTATATAGCAATAATTATAAATGAAATCGAGCGCGCTTAAATGAAAAAAAAATATTTTCTTTTTTAATATATATTTTTAATATACAAATAAATAATACATTCCCGCTCTTTTCATCGATTCTCAAGGAAAACAACTATAGTTGACGAGAAGTCTTTCAGTATACAGATGATGCGTCAGATAATAAAGCTAAAGGTATACGTGAGTTCCACATTTCAGCTCCGCAGGAGCTGCGCTAACAAGCTTTTTCTATGTAAGTCCTATTTGGTGGAACTCCTTTCGCGGCACCCTCACCTGCGGCGTTTGTGTGTGAGTATTTTTTTTATATAAGTCCTATTTGGTGAAACTCCTTTCGCGGCGCCCTCACCTGCGGCGTTTGTGTGTGAGTATTTTTTATGTAAGTCTTATTTGGTGGAACTCGTTTGGCCGCACCCACACCGGCGGCGGTTGTCTGTGAGTGTGCATTTGTGTTAGTGACTATCGATGGAACTCATTTTGCATGATTCTCACCTGCTGGAATGATATGTTTGCGAAAGGTTAAGGAATCATGATTGTTTAAAGCGTTTTCGGGTTGAAAGCTGAAAGTGGAAAATTCGAATTGGATGGTGTGGATATGGGTGTTAGTATGAATAAATTACCCACACTCTCAGGAGAAAAAAAGCGGCCTCCTGACGTTTCGTCGCGATCATTCCGAACATCCGTCTTTAACACCGGATGTTCGGAATTGACATTTTAGTTCTACAACGGATGTTCGGAAAACTCGTTAAAAATTTTTACGAACACTCGTTATTTTCCGATGATCGTTTCGAACACCCGTATTTTTCTTATTACGAACATCCGATATTTTTATCTCAAAAGTGATGATCTTTTGAAGAAAAACGGATGTTCGGAACGGACTACGACATTGGATGTTCGGAATGAAAAGTAGCGACGAAACGTCAAAATGCCAAAAAAGCTCTATTTTTCACAAGAACTGTTAAAAATAAAGCGACTTGTAGTTTCGCGTACAGTATCCATAACTTCTAAATAATTGAAGCCAAGAATCATAGTGTTGCACAGTTTTATGAATCTTCAACTGTTGCTTTCCATAAATATTAAATAGTTGAGAACTGCTTGTATTCTGCTATGAAAAACGTTGTTCCAGAAAACGCTAAATTGAATATTTCAGAAAAACCAAGTCGAAAGTATATAACGTATGATTCCATGCGTCTTAATTTCCTCTTTCCAATGGTGAAAACCGCACCTCTCAATCTTCTTCCTTTCAAAAGTTACATCAAAAATACGAGTTGCAGTCATATTGTTGTTGGTAGTATCTCTGCTATACCTCCTATACCTCCTATACCTCTTATACCTCCTATACCTCCTATACCTCCTATATCTCCTATACCTCCTATACCTCCTATACCTCTTATACCTCCTATACCTCCTATACCTCCTATATCTCCTATACCTCCTATACCTCCTATACCTCCTATATCTCCTATACCTCCTATACCTCCTATACCTCTATACCTCCTATACCTATATATCTATCTACCTCTTACCCATAGGACATAATCGAGTTTCCGGGGATACTCTCAGAAGACATCGTACGACGCGTTCAGCAACACTACAATCACCACCACAAAGATCATCACAACATTTAACACCACAATCACCACAATCACCACCACAAAAATCATCATCACAATCAACAATGAAACATTTATATTCACATTCACCAACTTCTACTACTACAACATCACTAGTTCTTATTTCGCCTATGCAACAACAACAGAAATTACCAAATCAGGCGTCCAACACCCAATCAACAACAGTATATCTATATGATTCATTATTAAAAGGACCAACTATCCAATTACTTGATACAACCAAACCCTATGAAATTGGTGATACAATAAAAGTAGGTGGTCGCATTCTTCAATCAGATCCAACATCAATGAAATATTGGTTAGAAGATGATTTAACCATTACTGAAACAGTAACCGGTGGTCATATACTGAATATGGCCGGGTATTCGTATTTAGTGAAGAATTCTGAGAAAAATTTTACTACTTGGAAATGTGAACAGCGATGCAATCATCAATGTTCAAGAATCACTATACGATCATCTGATCCTAAACTTATATATACTTTCCGAATCTATTCTATTCAAGGCGATCATATACATGAACCAACGCCAAACAACGTGGAAATTCGAAAATTTAAACAATGTATTCGAACCAGATGTTTAAATGAACTTTCAAATCCACGAACAATTTATGATAATGAATTGTTCAAAGGCAAATATACAGCTGAAATGTTGAAGGTTTTACCAACTTTTTATAATATGCGTGAGTAAAAGCAAACTTTTTAAATAACTTATATTTTCGTGAGAAACAGCGCAAAGTATCAATCTGGTAATCAGTTCTTGCAATATTGATATTCTTAAGATTAACGCGTTAGAAAGAAAAGTTTAACTTGTTTTATCTCTGGCACACATTCATAATTATTATAAATCTAGTGATCAAATCACAATCTTCCTTAATCTCTTTTAGAATCAAGATTATACTGTATTCGGCAATAAAATTTACCAAAATCACCGTCGGATCTTAATTTTGTGTTACATCCAGGATTTAAATCAACAGATAAAGGTGAAAGATTCTTACTCTATGATTCAAAAAATGTTCAACCACCATATATGTTAGCACCAACCGAAGTTGGGCGATTATTAATCTATGGAAGTGATTTGCAGCGGAGTATTTTAGCGAAATCACACCGGGTGAGAAGTGATGGTACATTTCAAACATCAGCAAGTATAGCTCAGCAAAATTATATTATTATGACTGAAATAGAGGAAAAGTACTCAGATAAAAAGAAATTGCAATCTGGTCACCAGAAAAACAAACTTTTTAATTTTGTACTAATATCTTTTATTTTGTTTGTAGTGCCAACAGTCTTCTGCTTATGCGAAAAAAAATTACGAAACATATCAATTGATATTACAAGTGCTGAAAATATCCATTACCAATTTAAAACTAAATTTTACACCTGGGTATTGGATTAGTGATTATGAAGATGCTTTGGTCAAAGCGATTAAAGAAGAAGTAAGTGTATAGTCTTTTTTAAAGAATCCTTTTTCCAGATATTATTTAATAAGCCTTCTCAAATAATCGCATCTAGAAGACTTTAACTTCCGAAAATATCATACTGGGCACCAGATAGGTCTTGAAAATGATCTAAGATTATGAACATACAAATATTGACAAGTCTCGGAAACCTATAACAACAACTAGTTTCTGGTGATCAGATGAACAATTTCTTATTATTAGGTATTGGTTGTTGTATATGTCTTTTATTTTTAGTTACCTGGAACAGAGCTCCAAGGGTGTACATTTCATTACTCACAGGCCATTTACCGGAATATACAACAAAAAGGTCTTCAACAGGCGTATCAAGAGGTGGAGATAGTGCGTCAAATTTTAAGGCAGATAATGGCACTTGGATTTCTACCCGCTCATGAAATTAAAAAAGCTTATCAAGATATTATTAAACCACAAATGAAAGCTGTTCCAGCTACACCAGTAGCTTTACGACACAACTTACGTGAATTTTATAGATATTTCGAAAAAGAATGGCTAAAAAAAATTCACCAATTTGTGCTTTTGATCAATCGATACGAGCTTTAAATGCCTTAGAAGGTATAATGTTTTAATGAAATATTCCTATTTTCATAACAGTTTCTTATCTGAAATGCGGAACAAGCTTCAACTAGGACGAGCCAATGTGTTGACAATTTTCTACATTTTTAAAAATCGAAAAGGTAGGGGAAAATGTTGATATGCCGTTTTATAAGAATCTAATACTGATAATGCTCATGGTTGTGTAGTACATGTGGTCACCAAATTTTCAAAAAACCTTTTCAACTTAGATTGTTAACAATATATGATAATCTTTTCTCTCTTTTCAATTATAGGTTTTAACAACAAAATGGCAGCACAATTATCCACACATCCACATCTTTATAAATTAATTATTTGGTTTGAGAAGGAGGAGCTGCTGGTGCAACAATTATTCGAAAAAATTCGTTCAGCTATACCTCTCCACAAACGAAAACAAACTGAAAAAACAATTCTCATTAATGAATCATTATACTCATTGTGGGATTCATATAAAAAGGAAAATTAAACGTGAGAAAATTATTATCAGAGTCATCAAAATGGGTGGCAAAAAAAGTTTAACAAAAATACCAAAGTCAAAACAAATTAGCATTTATATCTACTTCTATCTTTTTTATAGTATGTTGTTACTTATGTTCATCAATATATTATTATTTTGTTACCTACAGTACAAAGTTGCCAATATTTTTTTCTTGTTCATTTAATATAAGATGGTTATAGAACTTTTGAACTAAACTTGTACAATATTACGCGTGCTTAAAACAATTGTTTGTTTTTTTTGTTGTAAACAACTTGTTTTCTTATTTTTCATATTTTAAATAAAACTTATAAGAAACATTCAATATAACACAAATAATTATTTCACTCATATAACAAAACATTTGTGCTCCGTCCGCACAATAATACAATACTATAGCCTGAGACTGTGGTTCCGAAAGCAACTATATACCAACGGCAATAAACATACCCATTTTTAAAAAACTATTTTCTTTCAAGTATATATCCATAGTCAGTACTATGATTTAAAAAAGTGCACAATACCTAATGAATATTCATCGATTGCTTACCAAATATATATTACTCGTTAAACATAATGGCTATTTATACTCGAGTAAATGTCCACTAAACCTTAATAAAAATTACTATTCTAAAATCTGACAACCAACGATACCACATTATTAATGAACTCATAACCTGCCTCAATACATATGATACAATCTGGTGACCACTTATATCACACTAATATCAAACTAATAACTGCTATAAATAGCTCTCATAGAATCTGGTGACCAGTTCTATCACATTTATTTCGAACTGATAACTACTGCAACAGGTATCTAAGCATCTGGTGAC